ATGTGATGCTATATACCAAACAACAGTCTTGTTTCTTATTGTGGAGCTTAGTTATGGCAATTTATTTGTTTTTATCAATGGCGTTTCGTGGGCGTGGCAGTTGCTATTACGCCGATCTTCATACAAACCATCTTACGGTACCAAGAAACATGTGTACCAAGTTTCATAAAAATATCTCAATTTTACCAAGTTACACTTGCACAGACGGACCGACAGACGGACGAACAGACGTCATCCGGGTTTCCACTCGTCTCTTCATCCTGATCATTTATATATACATAACCCTATATCTAACTCGATTAGCTTTGGGTGATACAAACAACCGTTAGGTGAACAAAATATTATCTCTGTTGCAATATGCAGATTCCATACAAGGACTTGATTTTGATCGATCGGTTTACATAGCAGCTATATGCTATAGTGATCCGATCTGTACATGATAATTCATGTCAAATGTGTTGAAGATATCGTGTAAAAAGGTCTTTACACAAGAACTTCATTTTAATCGTTCAGTTTGTATTCAGGTATGCTTAGTGGTCCGTACGGTGGTTCCTTCAATAAGCGCTTCTAGGAGATAGTTCGCGTATATACAGATAGATGACGGACAGACGACGTACTTGACAAAATCGACTCAGCTCGTCACGTTGATTTTATATATATTTTATGAGGTCTCACATTTCGAGGCAGACTTAATATCTACCTTTCAGGTATATATTAGAAAAATTATGCTAACATTTTCATTGTTTTCTGAAGAAATTTTTTTTTTTATATTAATATATAACTCCTGCAATTATTATATGAAATGAGTTTGTAAAATATTAAAAAAAAACTCTTAAAAATGTGTATTATCTAAATAAATACATGTATATAAAAATTATGTGTCCGTTGTTTGTCCGCAATAAACAACTAAGCTATTGAACCGATTTTAATCAAATTTAGCACACTTGGTCCAATGTAAGAGATAAGATAAATTAATCCCAATTTAAATGAGTGAAATTGTTTTATCACAAATTATTTGTTTATTATATGACAAAGGGATAGAATTTTTTGTACGGTTCTAACAAATGACGGTGTAGGGCAATTTATCCGCTGGATTAAGTAGATTGCGGTATATTACAATAAAAGTTAAATATCGTCATATAAGTATATATTGCAAAACATTAAGTAATTGGGGAATGGATGCAGCATTGCAAAAAAGCTCAACATACTTTGAGATGAGTGAACAATTGCCTAGAGCAATGAAAACTACTTTCTCTTACTACTGTATGGAGATTTCCAACAGATTTTGACGAAAATCACGTTTAGTTATACATACCTTCAGAATCTACCTTACCCTTCCAAAGGCTACAGTTTCTGTTCGATTAGCTTTCGCCCTGTCTATAAATAAACTTCAAAGCCAAAAAAACATATATTTTCGGTTTTTGTAGATTCATTCTTTTTTCTCATGGGCAAACATTTGCATTATTCATTTTCAAATCTTACCTCAAATTTAATCTCTTGGATTCTTATGCTGGCAATAACTTTTTCGTTTTTATTAAAAAAAGTATTACTAAACTAAAACACACCGTTCAAGTTTCAATAATATTTAATGTATACCCTAGCCACAGCCATGCGTGGCCGCATCTACCAGTGTTCAATATAAAATTATTTTTTTTTAAATACTGCAACTATTATGAAAAGATAAAGTGTTTTAAAAACACACAAAAATTATATAAAATATTTCTGTGATATTTGTTTATATATTTCTATAAGATACCTCCTGTATAAATAACATTTAGCTTATTTTCGTTATACTTGACTTAGCTTAAATGTTTAAAGTTTTCTGAGAAACATATTATAGATTTTTTTCTAATGAATTCATTCAAACTTAATTGTTATCTTTTTCAATAAATGCTTAAAAAATTTCTCACTAAATATTAATAAATTACGCATAAAAAATATACCAAAATAATGTTTTTTTTTAATTTTTATAAAAGTGCATGAATATTCACAACGAATAGTTCCATTTTTGGCTTGACCACTGAATTTTACTCGTATTATATCTATACAATATACTTACATAATTATTTATCTGAATTTAAACTTAATTGCATGGAATGGTTAGAGATTAAATAATAAATCCCAAATATAAATAACAAAGTAGAATTTCAAATGAGGTATCCTCTTAGTGCCAACCAACATTTTAAATTTACAGAAATGATCGCTCGGTGTAATGACTCAAATATTTTGCGTTGGATTTTCCAACACATCTCAGCTTCATAGTTTTCGGCCGCCCACGTTTATTTTGTAATTTACCGGCCAAAATGTTTGCTTTCGCTTTGTTATTGCATTCTCGATTGGCGATTTAATCGAAAAAATCTTATCAATATAATGAATTGTTAATCATATTAGACAATAATTATTTAATATTTTTTTGTAACGATATTCCGGTAATTTTTTCACGGCTCAAGGTTCATTTGTTTTGTTTCTATTTTGGTATTTTTTTGTCTATATTTCAACCCTTTTTATTGAAGACCAAGTATAATAGGCTTTCAGCTGATCGTTAATTTATGGTTTTATGTTTGGAAAAATCTTCTTAGTCACTATAATCGTAACTCTTCACTTTTACTTTGCAGTTTATTATCTTTTTCGAAGATATCGTCACCTACAGCGTACTACTAAGTCACATAACCTATAAAAAGAATATACTTTACTTTTTCGCACGAGATCGCTTCATACCTATTAATTAATTATTAATCCTATGAAAAGTAGTCTGAGTCCGTTAGTTAGAAATTAATACCGTAAAAAAAGTAAATATAAATCATTTACCACGTTTTACAAAAACTATTACCAACGCCTTTGGCACCGAATTCGATTCATAAATATTCAAATTAACCACACCTTTTAAAAATTGTCCAACTCGTTGAAACTAGTGCTCAAATACCTTAAGTGGCATCATATTAATACAAATTTGCAATAAATAAATTTTGGCAAAATTCGTTTGTTTTGTTGGTTTCTTTATTTTTAGAACGTTTAAATACATTTTTTACTTTCAATGCATAATAAATAAATGTATTTATGTATTTATATATTATTATGATAAATAACTGTATTTTTGTACATATGATCATAATATTAAAATTATATTAAAAAATATAAAGTTATATAATTTCCATTTAATTATGCGAATTTTTTGGGAGTTAAAGTGCGTGCCACACTTTTTCGAAGATTCGGAGTTAAAACTGCTTAGTTGGACCAAATAGCGTCGGTTTTTGTAATAAACTTGAAAAATTTGTAAACTTTGTTCAGGCGTAATGATAAAATGGCGTACTAAACCAAAACAAGTAAGGAAGTTCTAAGTTCAGGTGTAACCGAACATTTTACACTTTCGCAACTTGCCAGGATCAAAGCCCGGAAAATTACTTAAAGTATTGGCAAAATTTTATATTAAAGGAAGTATTGATCCGATTCAACCCATTGTTGATACAAAGACATACTATTATCGAGAGTTTCATTTATTTATTTTATTATATGCATTTTAATGATATATATTACACATTGACCGATATTTTCGGTAAAAAGTCAACTATAGGCTCTGGGATCCACATTTTCAGTACCTAGGGGCCTGAACAGTTTTGCTTCGATTTAGAAAATTTGTGGTCACAAGGTGGCATACTTTAAACGCATTATTCTCGCAAAGTCTTACCCCGTGGAATATATCTTACCATAGTGGAAAGTGAAAGAATCAGATAGAAGTTAAACTGGTGGTATATGGGAAATAGGAGTGGTTGTAATCCGAGTTCACCCATTTTCGCACTATAACATAGAAATATGAGAACAATGTTATGTACCGAAGTTAGTTGAAATCGGTCAAGCAGATCTCAAGATATGAGTTTTCAGCTAAAAGTGGACGGTGCCACGCCCACTATATAATTTTTAATGCGGTTTCTACAAAGTCATCTCATACCATCCAAGAGATAAAATTAAATGTCTCTGGCGTGTATAGTATAACTTTAGCGGTTTAGGAGATATGCACATTAAACATAGGCGCGGGACCACGCCCACTTTCGAAAAAAACAATTTTAACTGCAGATGCCCCTCCCTAGTGTGATCCTGTATACCAAATAACAGTCTTGCATCTTATTTTGGAGCTTAGTTATGGCAATTTATTTGTTTTGAATGACGTTTTGTGGGCGAGGCAGTGGTCCGATTACGCCCATCTGTAATACCAACCGTCTTACGGTACCAAGAGATATGTGTACCAAGTTTCATAAAAATATCTCAATTTTTACAGTCATCCGGATTTCAACTCGTCTCTTCATCCTGATCACTTATATAATATGTAATATATTGTACATAGCCCTATATCTAACTCGATTAGTTTTAGGTGATACCGTTAGGTGAACAAAACTATTATACTCTGTAGCAACAGGTTGCGAGAGTATAATACAATAATATGACAACTTTCACCACTCATGCGTGATCGGCCAAAAAAGAAGCTATTGAAAAAATACCTCTACTTGGATCACCCGTTATATACTACTTGTATATATGAATATTAGTATGTAAATATGTATGTCGATATGCTGTCAAACATATAATATTTTTTAAAATTTTTTTCATATCCACACATACATATGCACATAAGTATGTATGTTATGTGTCATAAATAGTTATGTAAATGGTTCACTTTCCATTTCATGCAAAAACAACACACAGTCGCATTAGTGATCTACAACAAATCGTTACGTTTCATTAGAAATGCATATGTAAATGTTTGAAGATACTCCAACTCAAAAATATGTTTGTATTAATACAAATACACAAACAAAGTCAAACTCGTAACTGTTATCTTAGTTCACGCTTAATTTATTTCTAGTTTTTTTTTATTGTAAACATAAATTTTTGCAAATTTTTGGCCAAACTACAATACTTTGCTTTTATTATGTAATTATTGTTAACCAAGTTTTATTTAGTATTAATGCACATGTTGTTTCTTCTTTTCGATTGCATTTGATTGTTTAGCGCGCCAAATAGCGCGTCAAAGCGCACCGGACTGGGATTACCGTGATACAAATAGATGGATCGCAGATTATCCAACTTGTGGTGGTTCACAACAGTCGCCGATCAATTTGGATCATTATACCGTAAGTGTTGAGTATTGCGTTCTTGTAGTTCATCTATCTTTAACTGCACCACGACTCACTATTAAAGAATTGCCTGAATTTATTTTATGATTCCCGAAGAACTCATGGAGATAAGCGCTGTTATCTTGATACAAAATTTTGGGGAATCATAGAGTGCGGTTCTTCGAATTTATAGATACCTATAGAACAAATATTATTCTGAAAATGATACAAAATACACACTAGCCATTAAAAGGTAATACAGGACGACTCGATTCGTCAATTCTCTACTCGCTATGTTTGCGCTCTGCTCTCCATTCTATTCTATTCAATACGAAAGCGCAAAGTGGCATAATCGCTTAAAATTGTAAATATATGGTTAGTTTAGTTTATAGCTTTTTACCAGTTGTTTGTTTTATTCGCTATTATAAAAGCTTTGCCCAGTCGAATAAAGTTATAGCATTGTAGAAATGTCTATTAAGATTAAATTATTTTTTTCGCCAAAGCAAATATTTTCTTAATTGCCTCAAAGTTGTCATTATAGTCGGATTAAGCTTCCGGCTTAGATATATCAAACGTAAAAAGTCTGCATGAGATATATTCTCTCCTATTTATTCCCTATCTTAAAAATATATCAGAAATTAGATTGTCTAAGAACAAAAAAATGCTATTTTATAGACGCGTGAGCAGCTAAAGACTTCAAAGTGATCTCAATATAACTCAATTTCACAAAAAGACATAACTAAGTTTCGGATAAACCTACATCATAAATAAACTTATAGAGCAGCGTCTAACTTTCCAGATTACTTTCACTATTAGCTTCAAGAGTAACAGTGTCTAAAATAATTCAGCTGTGTTAATATTTTAAAGATATTTTATAACTAAATAAAAATAATTTTACAATATGAACCGTTATTTCTTTATTGTCATCACGTAAGACATAATTGATTCTATGCCATAACATTTGCATAAATATGTCATACTTTGCTAAAGATAAATACCCACTTTCAAACATAACCAAATGAAGACTTTATGGTACCATAGATCTATATATATACTGACATACTGGCACATAGTTAAGTCTGTGCGTTTCTTAATTGTCAAATTAGCAAATTGCATAATTAATATATTTACGTGTTGCCAGTTTTAAGATGATATATTAATTGAAATTACTGATATATTAAGTGACAATATGAAATGATTTAATTTTTTTTAATTACGTACATATGTATATAAATTTTTTTTCATTTCTCATTCTCTTTGATTGTGTTTACTTTCAGTCCATAGGTTCGCTTAAGCCGCCTTTGAAGTTCAGAAACTATGCGCAGCCATTCGCTTTCCCACTCACGCTCATCAATAACGGTCATACAGGTACAATCCATCCATTTGAAACTATTTATAGCAACAACAAATTTTACGACTGAATTAAATAACACTTTGTCATACTTAACAGCTGATATAACACTGCCTGAGACTGTACGTGGACCGCGGCCAACTATTACAGGCGGTCTGTTGGATGGCGTCTACGAAGCGCAGTCGGTGCATTTTCATTGGGGTGCGCCAGGTGGTATTAGGGGTTCGGAACACACCGTCAATGGTTACCGTTACGATGTGGAAATTCACATTGTGCATAAAAATATGAAATATGGCAACGCAGAGGAGGCAAGGCAGTATCCAGACGGTTTGGCGGTGTTGGCCATTATGATTGATATTGTGGACGTAAGTGCGGGGTATAGCTGGAAATATTATTTTTCCCCATAATAAATGTCTGTCTACCATAGAATCCACAAACGTATTACCCAGGGCTGAATATAGTTTTCAATGCATTACCTAGAGTGCGGGTGGCTGATACGAATACAACTATAATTAATCAACTCGGCTTGAATCACTTTTTGGGCGATGTGGATACCAGAAACTTTTTTGCCTACAGAGGTGTGTAGCACATATATATTGTACATACATATATTTCTATATAAATAATAATTGAATACTAAAAATTTTCAGGTTCACTTACCACACCATCCTGTTCGGAAGTGGTTAGATGGCATGTTTTTCCCAAGCCACTTTTGATAGCACGTGCAATGGTAAACAAATGTGAAAAATGCTAAATTGAAATTTTTTCTTAATGCTTTATCGCTTTCTTATAGATCCAAAAATTCTTCGAACTGAGACAGAGAAATGGTGCACCGTTATGGAACAATAATCGCCCATTGCAAGCGTTGAATAGGCGCTCAGTTTATCGACGTAAAGGCGGTCTTTAGCAAGCGTTACTGCACTGACTATTTAGCACACCACTACAATGGCATGCATTGTTGAGTTGAACTCTGCATCTTATTTATTTAATTTAGTGTTAATTATTTAGTTTTGTTGGAATACAGTCCTGCGTATAAATAACGTACATATACATTTTTCGTAAAGTAGTCATCATGAGCAAGTAATCCCCCCGCTAATTTTTTTTAAATTTTAATTTTAACAACAATTTTTTTTAATTGAAAATTTTTACTACTTTTAGTTACAAAATTAATAACTAGAAAACTATTGGTGATTTTTTAATGACATTTTCAGGAGTTATAGTTCAAAACTTTTACTTTGAAAAAATATGTATGAATTTAAATAATTTTTTTTTTCAAATTGTTAAATAACTTTTAAGTTAAGAAATAAAAATTTTAATGATTTCTCTCTCAAAAAATTAAAATTTGTTTTTTTAGTATTTTGCAATAAACATTAAAGTAACGAAATCCGCAAAAAAAATGGACTGATCGCGATTAGATTAAGCAAAAAAAATGTTTATGACGGGCGGTCAGCGCTGCCGGTATAGCGCTGCAGGTATAGCGGTTCGGCAACGCAACACTTAGACTGCGTTGCATATTTCATTTGTATGTTGGGATGATGGTCTCACATTTTGCTTGCAGTGAATTAGCATGAATGTGGTAGAACAATATGTATAATACCTATCCGCTTAGTAGTTTCAAAGAAATTCTTAAGACGCCAATTCCCTAATCCACCAGAATGTATTGAATACTCGCTATTAATATTTCAAGGCCAAATTTTTAACTGGAATGTCCTATTCTTTAAGTATTGAAAATCCATAATTTCTTTAAATTGAATATTTTTGAGTATCTTAGTCATTGACTTATCTTAAGAGTTACTTAGTAGTTATAAATAAGGAATAATACTTCATGTTTTAATTAAAAATATCGTTATTTTATGATTAATTTTATTTCAACAAATGAAATATAATAAATTAAATATTTTTTCATAAATAAAAAAACAAAGAAGTTAAATAATTGTTAAATTAATTTTTATAACTTATACGTATTGCTTTATTTCTTTGTTTTTAACTTTTTTGGTAACGATTTTAATGTCTTTGGCGAAAACTTTGCACTCGAGTGATGTATTATTAAGAGCTCTGTAATGATGATATTGGCGTGTATTTTTTATGGTTACACATTGGTCATAACGTAATTTAAACATCTTCTCATGGGAGTCATGATCTTCTTGAGAGCAAAAACCAAAGTTAATTTTTTTAAATGCATTCTTACATCATTCAAATAATGAAGTTGCATTGGTTATGTGCTTTTCGCTTTTCCGTTGAAGTCTTGCACGAAAAGCTTGCCTCTTAAAACTTCCTGCCAAACCATCACATGCTCCTTTCCCATGAGAAGTTTGCTACTTCCATTCCGCGTCCACGTTGAAATCTTTTTTATGATTTATTAAATTCACAAAATTATACTTATTTTTGTACTGAGAAGCAGCTCCGTAAGAAAAATAGGAAATCTTTTTTATTTTATCCGCTCTAAACTTATTTTTTTAAAATTTTATCAATTTAAAATTAAAAAAGCTCGCGTCGTGACTAACTTTTTCCGAAATTACCACGTAGTTTATATGTTTCATTTCTTCATTTTCTCTATAGTACACAACGTAAGGGTGAATTGTAGCCTGACTGGTATTCCAATGATGAGATTGGATGGCATTTTGAACAGTAAAAGTATAATTTTCAGAAAAATCAAGGCAAACGATAAATTCTCCATCCTCAACAGATTTTTTCTTATTTATTTCTTTTAACCGCAAAGGATTTAGTTCGAATATCATTTTATTTAAAACAAGAATTGTAATGTTAATTGGATGTTTTATAATGAATAGAAAAAAATATGGGGTAAAAAAATTGTGGATTTTCAATACTTAAAGAATAGGACATTCCAGTTAAAAATTTGGCCTTGAAATATTAATAGCGAGTATTCAATACATTCTGGTGGATTAGGGAATTCGCGTCTTAAGAATTTCTTTGAAACTACTAAGCGGGTAGGTATTATACATATTGTTCTGCCACATTCATGCTAATTCACTGCAAGTAAAATGTGAGACCATCATCCCAACATACAAAATAAATATGCAACACACTCTAAGTGTCGCGTTGCCGAACCGCTATACCTGCAGCGCTATACCTGCAGCGCTGACCGCCCGTCATAAAATTTTTTTTTGCTTAATCTAATCACGAATTTTTTGGCGGATTTCGTTACTTTAATGTTTATTGCAAAATACTAAAAACAAAATTTTTGAATTTTTTGAGGGTGAAGTTATTAAAATTTTCATTTCTTAACTTAAAAGTTAATTAACAATTTGACAAAAAAAAAATTTTTTAATTCATACATATTTTCTCAAAGTACAAATTTTGAACTATGACTCCTGAAAATTTCATTATAAAATAACCAATAGTTTTCTAGTTATTAATTTTTTAACTAAAAGTAGTAAAATGTTTCAATTAAAAAAAATTGTTGTTAAAATTAAAATTTAAAAAAACTGAGCTGGGGATTACTTGCTCATGATGACTACTTTACGAAAAAATACTCACATTCAAATTCGATGATCAAGTGGAAAATGGGGGGTCCACTTGACGTGTTTTTACTCACATGCAACTCTGAATTTGTATTTAATGTAACTGAATTTTTCTTTTCTTATATATACGTTCCTTCATTCTTGTTTTAACCATTAAATTAAAAAAAATTCATACTGCAAAATTTAACTAATTTTAAAGCCGATTTTTATTCTAATAAATATTATGTAAATGTACATATTTTTGGTAAATATATATTGTTGGTCCCCCAACAAAGGAGGCCTCAGAAAAAAAAAATTTTTTTTTAAATCATCTTATTTCGACGCCAATGTTACAAAACCGTAAGCGAAAAGTGAATTTTTTTAATAATTCTATTTTTAAAAAAATCAAAATACATGTTATAAATTAAAATAAATTCCTAATCTTTTGATGCGCAGCCGAAGACCGCCAGTGCGGCAAGGAGTTCGACGTTCTCCGATATTCGCCCATACCATCAGATAGCGACGCAAAAGAAATTGTGACTGTTACATTTCTTCAGTATGTTTTTTTTCACAAGACAATGTTTAACTTGCTGAACTGGTAATTACAGGTAAGTGATCTGAATTCTGCAGAATTTTGCCGCTACAACAACAACAACTAAGTGACTTGAAAAATATGTGCAAAGTGCGTTTATTATATACATAAATTATTGAAAAAAATTACTTTCTATTATATTGAAAAAAAAAAATTAATTTCTGAGGCCTCCTTAGTTGTGGACCTAAACTATACATTTACACAAAAGCTTTGTTTTATTAACAAGTATTAATGGGTTTAACGAATTCGCAAGTGATTTCGGCTGATTTAAACTCAGTTTCTATGTCTTCAAGGAATTTTGTATGCAATTGCACTTTCAAATTTTTGCTAAATCATTTATCATTTATGTGTATGCTTTGTGCGTTAAAAAAGCTTACTAATTAATCTAATTTTTTGTCAGAAATGAGAAAGACAAACACACATGCACATATACAATTTAAATAAAAAAATATTAAAAATTAAATTAATTAAATTATAGAAGATATTTTGCAAACTTAAACAATGAGCTGGTTATTGTGCTATAACAAAGGTTTCATTAATTACAATGGGCACGCGGTGCAAGCTAGCAGGAGAAGAGACTAGTACATGTGATGTATAGTATTTTATAATAACAGCAGGCGTCCTCGAGCCTAACTGTTAACCATGTATGTATTTGCTGTTCCGTTTTGTGTCGTATTGATCTCAGCGTTAGGATTTAATTAATTTTAATTACTTTTAAAACTGCTCGAAAAAATTATAAAAAAATAACTATAATATAATATTAAATATTGTAAAAAAAGAAATAATTTTTATATCCATGGAAAGATTTTCAAATGTTTTTTTTTAGTTTTAAATTTTATATATAAAAATAAATTCAATAAATTCCTAAAATTCATAATATTAATTTATTTCCATTCTGGATAAATTTTTATGAAATTAAGTGAAAACAAGAAACACTGTTAACTTCGGTACAACCTTTACAAATAAAAAAGATTCCCATACAAGGACTTGATTATCATCGATCGGTTTACATGTCAGCTATATGCTATAGTAGGCCGATCTGTACAATTTGATAATTCATGCCAAACAATTACTTAATTTCAATCGTTCAGTTTGTATATCAGCTATATGCTCTAGTGGTCCAATATCGGCGGTTCCGACTAATGAGCAGCTTCTTGGAGAGAAAAGAACGTGTGCAAAATTTCAGATCGATATTTCAAAAACTGAACTAGTTCGCTTATATACAGACAGACGGATGGACATTGCTAAATCGACTCAGCTCATCAAGCTGATCATTTATTCTTGTATGTATATCTTTTTATAGGGCTTCCGACGTTTTCTTCTGGGTGTTACACACTTCGTGGCAAACATAATATCCCATGTTCAAGGTATAATTGAAAAAAAGTATGCTGAAATTTTTATTGTTTTTCTGAAGAAAAATCTTGTTATATTAATATATAATTCCTGCAATAATATTATTATATGAAAAAAAGTTTGTAATACAATTAAAAACAGTCTTAAAAGTTTGTATTATCTATCTAAACATATAAAAATTATGTGTTCGTTGTTTGTCCGCAAAAAACTACTAAGCTACTGAACCGATTTTAATAAAATTTAGCACACATTATCCAATGTAAAAGATAAGATAAATTATATCCCAATTTCAATGAGAATGAAATTGTTTATTTTTATACTTGAATTACCTTAAATTTTTTTAATTTTCTGAGAACCATAATACAGATTTATTTCTAATGAATTCATTGAAACATAAATCTGTTATCTTTTTCATTAAATGCTACTTTTGCTATTTTAATAACAATGTATGAGAAACAATTTCGTATTTTAATTTTATACTACTACTTGATGGGAAAAAATACCGTTCAAGCGAAGCAGCGGCTTGAAAAGTGTTATGGGGTCTCAGCACCGTCAGATACCACAATAAAATGCTTTTTTGCTGACCTCGAATGTGGTCGTAGGGACACCAATAATGCAAAACACCGTGGGCGTGCAAATGAGGCTGTTACCCCCTAAAAAAAACCCACAAAATCGTTC